CAAGCAAGGATTCTAATTTTGACTAAATGTAATCACCCCTACCCCACACTTAAGTTATGCAATGTCCCCATTACATGTTAAAACAATTAAAGAACACAAAAGTAAAGAGAGAATTGGAACAGACTCCCCTGGGATAGAAGTTGCGAGGTTGATATTCTTCATATTAAGCTCCATCTTCAGCTGACTTTAGACATGGGAACAACTCATCCATGCCTTGGGTGTCAAATCTCGTGTGGTGCAGCTCCGATTATTCAGGAAAAAGCTCTTGGAAATGCTCGGAAAATGATCTCCTTATACTCTTCAGCGACGATACTCCTTTTTAACCATTTTAAGCATCAGACTCACACCATCACTCAAATCTTCAAATCTTCTCGTCTACACTCGACCCCTCACATTATTTCTATCACACTTTTAATTAATTAATCAACTCTCACCCTAACTTCTGCAAGATCAAAAACAAATACCAAGAAATAATAATAAAAAAACATCAAAATAAAAAAAATCCTAAATTATCCCTAAATACTGTAAGTTTAGAAAGAAAAATAAAGCAAACTCTACTGATGGGTTGCCTCCCCCAAGCGCTTCTTTTTGGGCCAGTCTTTAGCTGGACTCTCAACTTAATAAACTTCCAATAGACTCAATGCCAATCCATCCGTTGCATTGAATATTTTCTTTGGACCAATTTGTAAAATGTGGCTCTTTGCTTCCAAAATTGGCCCAACGAGATTGAATATACAAAACCCAAGAATTTTGATAAGGGTTGGGACCGGTTGGATACTAATCAGAAATGGATCGCGCTTCAGAACTTTCTCCAAAGTTGGAATCGTCACCCCATGCTTTGAAACACAAACCAAGAATACAGGGGGCCATGTCGTGGTAACGGTCAAACCATGTCGTGGTTCCTGTAATTCAGCTTGTTCTTGTTCTTCATCTGACCCCTCTGCCAGCAATCTTTCCAGCTCCTCCAAGTCTCTTTTTGGATTAAATTCTTCATCTTTGAACACTAGCTCTTGAAACTCAGATTTCTCTTGTTTATTAGGCAAGATGTCAGCTAACCATCTTCCAAATTTCTTCAAATCATCATCTGAGTCATACTCCTCATCTTCTTGCTCAATTTCTTGTACTACTTCCTCAAGAAAAGCATCAAAAGCATCGAGATTAGGAAAATACATAATAAATATTAAAAAAAAAAAACTCGTAACTTTATATGAGATAAATCTCACACAAAGGATCGATAACACTAGAAAATAAAATTAACTATTAGAACCATTCCTAGACAACGGTGCCAAAAACTTGATGTGTGTTAAACAAACTAGTTTTAATCCTACTAACTTAAACACAAAGACAAACACATGGAAGACAGTGTACCTATCGATTAGCAGTTTAGTTCAGGTAAGTAGGGTATCGAACACAGGGAACGGTGATAATTAAATTAAATACTAAAATTATCTAATTAAAATAATTAATAAAAGAAGGGGGGTTCTCTAGTTTTGCAAGACAACGTCAAATCAACTAGTTTTTAAGAATAAATCGTCGAGTTTTTTCGATAATCCGTGTATACAGCGTGTATGACAAGGCATCTTCGAATCTGGAACATTATGACCAACTCGTCGAGTTTAGGCCCAACTCGTCAAGTTTTTTCTAACTCAACATTTTCTCAAAACACGAAAGTCGTTCGAAATTGTGTGTAGTTTTTAGAACATTTTGAATCTCGTCAATCGGAGTTACGGTTCATGAGATATTTCCAAAACACTGACAAGGGGTCAAGCTGTCCAACAACATCCTTCTTTCTTCAAAATTCAAGATATAAGCTTTCAATTGCCAATTCCGCTTCCTTTTCCTTCTGAGCATGTATTTATTGTTGAAAATGAAATATTTAAGATAATTAAGCACCTTTTGTTCATTAAATGAGATGAAAACAACATAAGGTATTAAGATAATGCATGAATTTTATAACTAAATATGCCCATATCAATATTCCAAGTTGTTCATATCAAAATCAAAATGTATTGATCATATGTATATGTCAGCTAGTTGACTAACCCTAGTTAACTTATAACTCAAGGAAATTCCATTTTACTTCAATATGTTATTTTACAACCTACATTTGACAATTTCTCTTTCTAACAATTTAGAATACAATGTTTGAAGTAACCTAGGAAGAGCTTTAACAAAGGCATGATCTTTCCTTTCGTTTATGAGAATTATTCCCAAACTACAAATTTTTACAAGATCGATCATCCTCATACATAATCCTTTTAAAGGTTTATAGTAGTAAATTTTAGTGGATAAGGTTATAGACATCATTCAATAACAAATTCCATTATAGTTTGTTTTACTTATCCTTAGAAAATAATCACCCTAAATAATATTATTTTAGAAGGTTAGGATCCATATTTGGCTTCATGATGTGTAAAGGGATGTCGTAAACACACCATAAAGTTATTTAGGTAGGCAAAGCCCTTTGCCAATTTTAATCGCCATGAAATTCCTAGATCTTTGAGACTCATTGACTATCAATGGCATGTTAATCTCGGATTATGTTCATCTTAAATTCAATGACGGGGTCGCCATGGATCACTGAATAGATGGTGAATCGACCATACAAAATCGCATGGTCCTCGGCTCCAGTTACGCTTGAGATTCACAAGTTCTATATCATTCTCTACCTATACTCTCAAATTGACGTGTCGGTTAACCATGCAAGCTCTATCAACAAGTTATAAAGAGAATGTGCAACTTTTATGGATAACATAAGATTCACATTAAATAGATTGAGAATTAACCTTGCAAAATCGCATGGTCCCCGGCTCAAGTTACGCTTGGGATTCACGAGTTCCATATCATTCTTAACTATATCCTAGATTGAGGTGCCGGTTAACCCCACGAGCTTCACCAACAAAATATAAAGAGAATGTGCAATTTTCATGGATAATACAAACTCACATTCTATAAATAAACAGGATTTTGTTTTATACTTGTATTTAGAATACTTTTAGATTGACAATTATCACTATCAAACCCTTTCGGTAACTCCATTCTGAAAATGCAATAGGGCGGTGACGGTGGTAAGCACGAAGCATATTAAAAACCGACCTCATTAGGAATGAAAGAGACCTCCTTAAACCCCTACATTAGAATGGGTGAGCCTAGTAACGGTAAGACTGACAATGTCAATATTTAAACACGCGATGGCACATGTTGTAACGTTCTTATACATATAGTAGACACAATTCTAATATATATAAATACAAGGGGTAAATTTAAAACTTTTTAAATTTAGTTGTTTATTATTAATTCTAATTAATTGCGAGGAGACAATATAACAATTAATAAATTATAAGGGTGTAATATTCAAATTTATAAATCTCTATTATAAATAATATTAAATATTTAAATTCACTATTTAAAAAACAAATAAATATTCAAATTCAAATAAACACATTCAAATAATATATATCAATTAATAAATATTCAAATTCAAATAAACATATTTAAATAATATTTATCAGTTTTCCAGATTCAAAAACAATTTAAATTAGGTATTTATCCATGTTTATCAAGGCTACATATTCGAAAAATGGCAAAAAATCTGAAACCTTAAATTCTTTGAATTCACATCGTGAACTCCTAGTTTACGTCGTGAGATGCTGCTAGGGTTTTATCATATTACGAATTTCTCATCTAATCTTCATCCATCCAGTTTCAAACAAGTTCTTACAGAAAACATGGATCTAGGGTGAAAGTAACCATGACCCAGTCTATGATACCACTGTTGGGTTTTCTACACATCAAATACACTCTAAAACTAGAGGAAAAATCGAAACAACGATATACCTAAGTGCACATGCATCCTATGGATCTATGGCTTCATGCTAATTACATCAACCCTAGAAAAAATATGTACAAAGAAGAAAACATACCTCTTATGTAGCCCTTGATCTTCATGCTTGAGATTTTGAACCTCCATGAATTTGCTTGGATGAAAGGACCCAAACCATAATCCCTCTAATGGTATCACACCCAAAGACACCAAAGAGAAAAATAAAAATAACTAAGAGAAGGGTCAAATTCCAAAACCCAAAGAGGGTTAGAAATCTTCCCTATGGGAGGAGGAAGAAGGGTTGGTGAATACTTCAAGCCAATGTGCAAGGAGGAATGGAATCCCTAAGGCCCTATTTATAACCTTGGATGCCTCCTTAGGTTTAGTACTCCTTCCCATGTGGGATGGGAGCATAACCACGAAATTTCACTCCTTTTCTATATGGGATGGAGTGATTTTCATCCAACCCTAATTCCATAAAGGTTCTAGAATATTCCTGATTAACCAACTATCGACTAATGAACATTCAACCCTTTAATTCATTAAACTAATAATTAATTCCCATAATATATTACCAAAATATATTTTCAAATAGTTTCTAATTAATTATTAACCATAATAATTAATAAACAAATTTCTCTTTTTATTTATTCTACTCAATTTGGGTCTTGAGGGCAACAAAAGGAGCCTGCTATTATTAGAAATATTATCAATAGGTAATGTCCTTGGACACTATTCCAACACATCCTTCATTAGTCCCATATTATTGTATCGGTTGACCACACACACTCCACCAATGACCAATGAGGTGCAATGTGATATTTCATAGGTTAGCATCAAATTCTATTGAATGCTAATGATTTTTCCACAATAGAGATTTTGAGCTTATTTATATTAAACTCCTCGTTAAATCCTCTATTAAACTCCTATTGGAGATCCATTAAATTCCCATTGAAGATGAACTATTAAACCTTCTATTAAACTCGCATTGGAGATCCATTAAACTCCCATTGGAGATCCATTAAACTCCCATTGGAGATGAACTTAATGGAAGAAGCATGGTAGTAACCTTTTGACACCATAGGGACGTAACATTCAAACATTTTAAAAGTTGTATTAAACGTAGAAATTTGACCAAACAACATCGACCATTTCTTAATTTATTCTAATAATTATAGTGGGAGACTTAGGAGAAGACTTTTAGCCGATAAATATTTCTCTTCAACAATCTACTTTCAAACACCAGCCAAACAAAATGAAAACAACCCTCCTATTCGCCGGAGTATTTCTTGCCGCCATCCTCCTCCCGGAGCTGGTTGCATCCCAGAAGTGCAATTGTCGTCCGCACCAGTGCTGTAGTAAGTATGGCTTTTGTGGAACCACACAAGCTTATTGTGGAAAAGACTGTCGAGGTGGCGCATGTTCTCTACCAGCCCCTCCAAATAATGTCTATGTCCCTGGGATAGTAACGAACGCATTCTTTAATGGGATTGTTGCTAAGTCGGCACGAAATTGCCCCGGAAGAAGATTTTACACACGAGATGCCTTTCTAACCGTCATAAAAAACTATCCACGTTTTGGTAGATCCGGTTCGATCATGGATTCCAAGCGTGAAATTGCGGCTTTCTTTGCTCATGTTACATATTTGACTAAACGTAAGTCTATTGAGAATATTTAGGTTAAATGAATAAGAAATATCGTTAATTCTGAATGTCTACATATGCTGGTTTGCAGATTTTTGTTATATAGAAGAAATAAATGGTCGTTCGAAAAGCTATTGTGATACAGTCGACTCACAATATCCATGCAACCCTAAGAAACGTTACTATGGTCGAGGTCCAATGCAACTTGCATGGAACTACAACTATGGTGCAGCCGGAAAGAGCCTTGGGTTCGATGGGATCAATAACCCAGAGATCGTGGCTACCAACAGAGTGGTTTCATTCAAAACTGCCTTGTGGTTTTGGATGGAAAATGTTCATTGGGACTTTGCTTCTGGTAAGGGGTTTGGAGCAACGATCCAGGCAATCAATGGGAATGAATGCAAAGGTAAAAACCGCGCTGCTGTGAGATCTCGTGTCACGTACTACATAAATTATTGTAAGCAATTTGGTGTTGCAACAGGAAGAAATCTTTGGTGTTAGATTTTGTTTCGGTCCATATCATGTGGAATCCAGCGTATGATACTAGCTTAGTGGGCATAATAAGTGTGTTTGAAAAAAAGTGGTCTCGTGGTGACAATGTCTTGGTTGATGTATGACCGAATGAAGGTTGGTGTCATAATAAAGAACAATAATAATATAAGTATTGATGGCAATATATAGCCTTCTCGTCATTCAATTATAAAAAACTGTTATTATCTAATAAATTGATTGTTTATAAAATTCGGTAAAATGAACACAAAAATGTAGAGATCAACCTGGCGCACGTCGAATCCGGTTTGAATCACCTTGCAAGGCTAAATACTTAAATAGTCATGGGTGACCCATAGTCAATTAGTACCGTGAGAGAAGGATGAAAAGAACCCCAATGAAAAGAACCCCACCCGGGAGTGAAATACAATTGGCTGAATCCCGTAAAATCATTTCATAAAAGTTCATTGATATCTTCTAATTTTCATAAAACAAATCAATTTCGATTCTTGAATAATCCACATCACTTCATCCGTCTAAATTAATTTTGAAGTGTATTAGATAATTATTTGATATATGTGGGTGGATACATGTGCAATACCACAAAAACCAACTTTCCAATATTAAAATTAAATCGTTCATTATACCCACCACTAATCATTATAGTGATTATTATCACGTTATCACCATTAACTACCACTAAACCTATGGAATACTCACCACTATTGCACCACTCCACCTTATTTTTTTTAATTAAAGTTAATTAAAAAATACATACGAAATCCAAATACAATATATTTATTTAAACTAATTTTTTTATTCAGTTAAAAAACATTACATAATTAAAAAACCATTACATAATTTTAAAAAAAAAAACAACTAAAATAAAATAGGAAACAACATTAAAATGCAAGCATAGAAACAAATTAAACTAGTTTCTAAACCTCATTTTTTAAATTATTCTACCATGGGATCTCTTTAAAATTTTGCAAACCTTCGAGGTGTTTAAACCGTATGTGGTTTATGTTTTCATATTGATGTGTGGCTACAACAACTGGATTGTCTTCGTGTGCGTTGTTTATAACATGGTTATAAAGTTTGTCGAACTTGCGACATGTTCCCCTCATAAAGCGAAACTTACAACATATTGCATCAAGATTACGGCTACGATAACCCATTAAATCATGGAAAACGTTTCCAAACTTTGGCAAAAAATCCCTCAAAGTTCGACTATCTTGGTCTTCCGTAACCGTAACCCCTAGTAGTGCTAACTTTTCTTCTTCTCCTTCTTCCAACTAGCTTTGCATTTTGGGAGCTATGATTATTTAATGTAAATAAAGATAGAGAGAAAATGTGTGAAAGAGAATGGTTTGAGTGTATTGGTTTTTTAATTGATGTGTTTATATATAGGTACTGTTTTTAGATTAAAAAAAAAAATTAAACTGTTACATCCCAAAAATCATGACCAAAAATTCCATTTTTAAACCATTAAATAAACCATTGATATTAGAATCATTTCATCAAAACATAAGTCATATTATTCCAAACAACAACTAAGAGTATCATCAAAACATCAGAGTAATCATCCCAAGTTAAACATCATGGTGTGTACGATGCAGTCATCTTGAGCTCTTCTCTTTGCAAATGGAAGTACTTGAAACCAAAATTGAAAATTATATGCACAAAGCTTACTGAGTCTCTCCAAACTACCACATATCATACATATAGTATATTGGGCCCCCTCCCCTTCATCGGGCCCCACCGGGCATCGGACAGAGTCCGACATCAGACCCGCCTGGCATCGAGTCCCACTCAGTATACGTATCCGTTTCTCCTAGGCCCCATCTGTCACTGGGCCCCACCCGCTTTACACATACAAACAATAACATATAATTATTCAAGCACATATGGAATCATACACAATACTATATATTCCAGTCCTAAATACCTTGCCTAACATGGGCCTCGCCCTTACTCTGCTATAAATGAGATATGGAACCCCGTCCACACTCAACTACTTATGAGATATAGGACCCCACCCACACTCACCTCCATACCAAGCACATACAAGTATCATAAAGACAATAAGTTTCACTAAACATGCATTCCTTCATCGGGTATCACCCGACAGCGAACCAAAGTTTGGAAACATACATATAAACATTCCTCGGGCCCTGCTCGACATCAGATTGTAATTCAAAAAGCATATAGACATTTCTCAGGCATCGCCCACCATCTGACCGTAATCCGGAACATACAATACATACACATGCAGGAATCATAAAGACATCAAGCGTATTAACATTCCTAAGGCATTGCCCGACATCGGATCGTAATTCGGAACCACATAACATAAATACGAGCCGACATTGAGGCCTTCGACCCATTCAAACAGGAGGAAACTCACCTCGCAAAGCTGAATCTCACAAACAGTCCTATGGTTACTAGCTGGTAGATCCCCGAACTGCAAATCTCTCTACTCCCCGAGCTACCATTACCAAAATAACAATTAGTTCAAAACCAATAATCCTCCTTAGGGTAAATGTAACAACCCAAATTTTTCAATAAAACTTTCCATTTTTAAATTAATAAAATCATTTTCAAAAGACATAGGATTTCAACCACATTGTTTATCAAAAATCCATACTATCAAATAAATTATTCGAAAACATCGGAGTGTCCCAACAAAAATGCCGAAGAGTACATGTCCCGCTATCTCATCAGGCCCTTGCCCTTAGGCTCCGGAGTACCTCAAACAACCAACAAATTGTAAGCTAATGGTTAGAAAGTTCCCCAGAGCAAACCCCATACAATATCTATAATCATATAATCCATATTAGCTATATCAGTTACACAAACCACATAAGCCTTGCATATAAACATATAAGGATGTCATGGAAACCCTCTAGGGTCTTACTCTGGGTACCATGGGAAAACCCATATGGTCTTAACCTTATGCCTCGGGAACCCCACTAGGTCTTTAACTAAGGATGCCATGGAAACCGTCCAAATATCTTACACCATAGTGTCTCGAGAAGCCCCCGAGGTCTTTACCTACGATGTCGTGGAAACCCTCCAAGTTCTTACACCTAAGTCTTTCAGGAACCCCACGAGGTCTTCCATGCAAGTATCATAAATACAATTAACATACCACATACTACATAGTCAACTAGCATATCACTTAGAAAATAATGGGTCGACTTTGGTGCCTTCGACCAATTGGTATGCTAAGGAGACTCACCTCTCAAGAAATGATGAACCGATAAGATAAGTCCTAACTCGTCGCTCCAACTCAACTGCCTACAAACACCATGTCACTAACTTTGTCAAAGCCCCATATTACAAAAATGCCGTTATATTCAATCTTGGTCAACCATGGTCAAATTCAAGGTCAACAGTCAATGTTGACCCCAAGTCGTTGAGTTCCTTCAGAGTCTAGAAAACTGGGAAAAACTCTAGCCAAATTGCCGAGTTGTCTCATCAAATCGCCGAGTTTACTCAATATCCAAAAGATGAGGAAACCCGATCCAAGTCGTCGAGTTGACTAAGCAACTCGTCGAGTTCTTTCAACCCTTTTCTCATTTAGATGCTTTTAAGCGAAACGAAGGCTCTAAACTGTAGATCTAACATCATAGGGTGTACTCATCACATAATGCTTCCAACTTTAAGTGCATGCAAGGCCTTAAGAGGCTAAAACACCCAAAACTAAGCTTAGGAAGAGGTTTAGGGCATAGAGAAGGGCCAAGACTAGATAAAGAACAACTTTATATCCATGGGGCCTAGAGGAGTCCAGATCTGAGACCATGTCCTCATGACAAGCTAAAACCCGAGAGTGACTCCATTTTGCCCTAGAAATGACCATATTCTTACATAAGGGAAGATTTAAGAATTGGAAAGCCAAGATAAAGATTTTATACCTCAATGTAGCTGCAACACATGAGGAAATATTGGATCTACTTCCTTCTAATCAATCTATCATCTTCAAGCTTCAGCGACCTCTCTCTCTCTCTCTTCTTGTAACCACCAACATCCGACACCATGTCATGGAGCCTACTTTTCCACGACGTGGAAGCACTGCGTCAACATTTTCAAAATTTGATGTTCTCATTCAATATGTTCGATGGATTGGTTGTTGTTGGATGTTTCTGATCTGAGCGCCTTAGGTGAGACTATGAAAGAGGAGTTCTATGTCGGACTCTTAGCGCTTATCAATCAATCAAGGATCTACAAGGGTTTTGAAGATTACCAAAGGTATGAATTCTCCCATATTAAAGTTTCAATTGATAGGTTGTTCATAGATATGTTTTTCGGTTCTCTTGATGATTAAAATATGTTGCTACTGCTTCCCTTTTAATGTTCATCCAAGTATGTAAAAAATATGATTGGATTATCGTCTTCAATATGTGAATGGGAAGCGCATCACTAAATATTCAAGTGGATAGAATTTTAGAAGTCATTAGACCATAAGTCTTTTGATTGATACATATCTCATTATATCAAGATAAACGATAAACAAATCACTCCATAATACTATCATTTGTTGGAATTAGTTCATGCTAATCTTCTATTCAGGTTGAAGACAAAAATGAAGTTCAGAGTCAACTGGGGTAAATATAAGATACTCAGATCTAATATGATATTGAGAATCTTGATCAAAGGTTAATGATCATCTAATGGAATTATGAAACTATTTCACAATCCATCTCAAACCAAAGTATTGCCTTAAGAAATATAGTTGGATAATGAAAAAAAATTATTTTCTGATTTGTAACTGATGAGTCGTATTGTGCTTACAAACATTTCATGCATTATACCATGAATTAGTGTTACGAGAGTCCTTGGTCTTGTACAAAATAAGAAAATTTTATCAAACGTTTTGTGCAATGGGATATTTTGTTAGAGATCCCGACTATGTTTTGAAAACTCTCCAAGAACAATGTATTCGTTGCTCTTAGAGCAGCCTTTTGAAACAAAGAGCTGATATCCAAAAGAGATAGTAGGAGCCACATTGA